CGTTAGGACATCAATTCAGCTTATCGTTTACCAAAACGAACCCTGCTGCAAACCCAACCCTCTTATCCAACATCCCAGTGATTCCTCGTGGAAGTGCAGAGGTGTTCTCGGCTTCCATCAAAGCGAGTGTCATGTCAACACAATCCTTCCCATTCCTTTCTTGACCTGTGTTCGGGCGCGGCCGGCGCTGGTATTGCCTAATTTAAGATCACCAGTTTTTACACATTGAGGATGATTGCTAGTCCCAAGCATCGTCTATTGGTTCTCTGTGTAATTACAGCTGATCTGGCAATAACAGAGTAGCAACCGTGGGCGGTCAATCAAGCTCAAGCTCAAGCTCAAGCTCTCTAACACGTCACGCTTTATAGATACCACCCAAGTAACATTTAAATTTTTATGAAATACTACAAAGCTGCTATAAAACAACATTCATACAACTCTGGTCAAGACTGCATTGCCATTGATGCATCCACCAAAACGTCTAGAATTTGTCTAGTTGGAAGTTGGGCACTCTGAAGAAGGTTGTGAAGGGTGTATTCTTGGAGCTCTTCAAGATTGATTTACTGTAAAAAGGCTGTATGAAGAACGCATTGAGAACCATTTGAAAACCACATTTAAATACTACAATAAAAGCTATTGGGCCATTTTCGAGCCATTTTCCCATTTTCCATTTTTGATAAATTCACTAGAAAAGTATCAATCAAAATAGAAAAGGATTCATAAATACCATCCGATCTTATCAACATAATTAAAATAGAAACCCTGCTGCATTTCTAAAATTATTAAAATAGTTTTCATAAAGCGACTTAGTTTTCGGTGCCACATTAAATCTTAAGTGAAATATACGTTGAAGCATCGAAAAAATAAGTTCACCCTCGGAAAACGTCGATTTTACTAATTGTTTTGCATTGAGTAAAAAAATCTTCAGATTGAGAAATTTTCGCATTTTAAATGTTTGCTCATTGCTAAATTGGCCAAAATAAAGTTATATCCAAGGAAATATAGATTGAAAATCAAAGATTGTAAAAAACAAACAAAATAATTGTAATATGGCGGTGGCATAAAAGTTGATTTCCATGGGTCATTTGTGAAAAAGTTATTTTGCTTTCAAGAAATCCCTAACAAATTCATAGGGGTCTAAAATTAAAGAAAACTTGCAGACTGAATTGTATTTATCTAAAGCCATTTTGCTTGATCTTAACCCGTTCTGATTTATGGCAGCACTTATTGAGACAAAGTTGCCTGTAAAAAGTTAAAGGTCAATGTTTGTTTATCTTTCGATAGTTGCGCTGTGCGATCCAGCGTTCTTCCAGACAATTTTCTCCCGATGGATTGGAGGAAAGGGTAACAGGAAATCTTCGAAATGCTGCTCCCAGTGTCTGTCTTAATCATTTACCATCACACGCAAAGAGTAGCGCTTCAACCCAGTGTAGATGAGTTGCGTTTTTTTGAAAATTTTCGCTGTTATGTACGAGCGCAATAAACAAATTAGTTCATTATAGGGGAATTTACGTATTCTCGTCAATATAAGCAGCGTCTGCACTTCTACTAGCATTTTCTCAGCGTCACGCACATATATGATGTGTCTGTTTGTTTACATTCATCTGCTGCTTGCTTCTCTATCCATTCCAATCGACAGAATTTTTCAAAACGTTTTGAAAGCGTTTTTACAACGCTCCAAACTTCTCAGGTGAGTGTGACTATTGTCGGCAGTCTCTTTTTCTTCGGCAACCTTCCCATTAGAACTGCGTGTTAACCAGCTGTTCTATTATCGGCAACTCGAAATCAACCTCATTTTGTAGTGCGTATGCTTTATTTGAAGAAAAATGTAGCATTACTGGATTGCTCGATCGTTCAAATATAATCAGATTGAAGCTGAAAGGCTAAACAATCGTTTGGACACATTCAGGGAAGTGCGTTGATAGGAAAACATAGTGAAATTAACGTTTAAATTTTGGTTGCCGAAAACAGTCAATGGGTGCCGAAGCCAACATTTACCCTACATCGACGAATACACATCGCACGCATCAATTCAGCATGAGGAAATAATTTGTCATCGATCTGTGTGTAAAAACTAACACGACACGTTCTTCAACGCTACATATATTTGTTTAAAAAATGCTTAAAGATGATGTTAGTTTCCGTAGGCAAGCTAAGAGTTTTCACAAATCGAAGTTTGAATCATTCATCGTAACCAGCAAATCCTGATGCAAAATTTTCCGTTTTTTCCCGGAATTTTGTAAATTTTCTCGGTTGTGCGATATACATTTATATAAATTGAATATAAAACCGAATGCAATTGAGCCGAAGACATCACAAGGTTAAATGGGGCATTACTAAGACAGCAACATTTTTCCTTGGATCTTGAGTGTGGTTTTGCGTTCAAAGTCTTCATTACTTGCGTATGTTTTAGCTACTTTGATTATTCACTCAGAACTCTGTACATGAATTTCAATGTTCTCAAGTTTTTTTTTCTTTTAGAATCTATGCCCATCCCAGAGTCCTTCTTTTCTCTGGGAATCGCTTGAGAATTTCTTCTTAACACTAAAAGTCCAGAAATTCTCCGCAGAGCACCATAAAATTCATGAAATTAGATTCTCTTCGAATTATAAAGATATTCAAAGTGTTTTCATGTTACTTCATACGCGAAGTTTGCGGTTTTCAGAGTTGGTTTGAAATGCTATCTAACATGAAGCTTTATTGTGAAAATTTATTAGCTAGAAAATGATCTTAGAAGAGGGTAGGTAGAGTACGCCTGCATGAAAATTGAATAGAAATTGAAAATGAGTGAAGGGCCATTAATGCGACAGTGCAAGTCAAACGCACACTCTTTGCCTACCCGTACGATGTACGCGGAGATTTGAAGTATGTCTACAAAACTACAGGCAAAAAGTGTGCGCCTTACTTTGCTCAAATACTACCTGTGGCTGTGGAATACTTCTAGCGACTGGAAATGTTTTCGGCAACGTGGGGCTTTAGGTAGTGATGAAACGCCCTTCGCTCATTTTCAACTTCTATTGCATTTTCATACTGCCGTACTCTAACGGAACTATCTACCTACACTCTTCTAATAAATAATTACTAATAAATTATCACACTGAAGCTTTATATTAGATAGCATTTCCAACCAATATCTTTAAAGCAAGCTTGCAAATGCTCATTACAGCTAAAATACTATTTTTCGGATTTATGAAGCTATGAGATATTTTAATGATAACTCTTATTTACAAGATTCAAGAACAGAAGGTAAAGTGTGTGTATGACACATAAAACATGTCAATTTAGCTTTCAGAGTCACAATAGCGATTAGCTGTAAGGATGAGCAACGCGATGAGCGAGCAATCATAAAATCGCTAGTTGTGACCTTCTGAAAGCAAAATTGACAAATTTTATATGTCATATACAAACTTAACCACCTCTTCTTGCATCTTACTAATAAAAATTATCATTATAGTATCCCATTGTTTCATAATACCGAAAAATAGCATTTTAGCTGTAATGAGCAATTGCAAGCCTACTTTAAAGGTATTTTTATAAATTCACTGAAGCTTCTTTTGTATTGTACCCTCAATAATTAAATTACTTTGGTATTTTCACCGATCCTGGAATCATCTTCACAAACTTCATGAAATTTTTAACAGATAAACTTAAATACAACTGTGTTCGATAAAATAGCAGCGCATGCCGATTTTCATACAAAATGGTCAACTTTGACATGATGTAACTTTGTTAACTTATGATCAATCGAACTGAAACGTTCGCCAAAGAACTACAAATATGTTCAATTTTACGATTACAAAATATTACATTTTTGGAAGCACCTGCAAGAAAGTGAGACACCAGGTAAAATTGTTCAAAATAATAGCATTTTTTTATTTGAAAATTTACGTGCTGCAAATATTTTATACATTTTTAACTATTATGTACATTTGTTAATTGGGTGGGGATTGTTAGAATTTCGAGAAAAGTAAAATTTAAAATCTCAAAATAAAGATAAAATAAAAATTATTAGTACTGCCAATTTTGAACAATTTAACCTGGTGTCTCACTTTCCGGCAGGTGCTTCCAAAAATGTAATAATTTGTAGTCGTAAAATTGAACATATTTGTAGTTCTTTGGCGAAAGTTTCAGCTCGATTAATCATAAGTTAACAAAGTTACATCATGTATGAAAATCGGCATGCGCTGCTATTTTATCGAACACAACTGTATATTTACTCTGAACTCTCTCAATTGACTTGTAGTTCTACTCAAAAATATCATAAAGTTCATCCCAAAACTCATTTAGAAATGTTCTATTAATACTATGATGTTATCCCTTGAATATATTCTAAAATGCCCTCCAAATTGCTCAAATTCTCTTAAGTGACTTTATCATGAAAATCTAGTCCAATCTAAGGATCTTGATTTTTTTTTTCAGGGTTTAAAATCTCATTTGTTTTTTGGAGAGAAGACGAAGCATATTTATTCCCGATTTGTCATCGAAATTCACGTTTTTTCCAGGTTTTTTTCCCCAGCGACTTCGAATTCCCGATTTTTTCCCGTTTTATCCGATTTCTTGGTTCACTAGTCACATCTTTATTTACAAAGGGTGATACGTCATATTTGAATTATTCGTGAGATTCGATTATCCAGAATGCAATCTTTAAAAAAAAAACTAGCTGAAACGTGTACAATTGTTTGCAGAATAAAAATTCTACGTCGTAAATTAAGAAAATAGTGATTCACTAAGAACTATTATCCATGGTAAACAACAGACTGAAATCGAATCTGATCGTTTCAACGTGAATAAGATACAACGCCATCATGAACCCTTTCCGGCCGTCCCGCAAGGTATGTGTTCATTTTGAATTCATTTCATTGAATAAAACCACCCAATCACACTACCCACGAGTAAACAAGCACAACCAACAATCCACTGCGCTACCCAACAGCGACAAGTTCATGCGAGCAAGAGAAGATTCCAAACATGACCTCCCCCTCGATCGGATCCCAGTCGTCGCACCGCATTCAGTGTTTTGAGCGCGTTCTTCGATAACGGTCACATTCGAATTAAGTTGCCGCGTGCATTCCGAGCTGTTCCTCAATCATAACTATCGCGTGCAGCAGATTAATCACGTTAGTTTTTTGTTGTTTTTCTTTGTTTTATTACAATCGTACCGAACCCGGGTCGTCTCTTTAGGTTAGCATTGAAAACATAAACAAAGCAATAAGTGAAAATAATGCTACGCTGGAAAATGCCGATGGGTGTGTCCCCGTATTTCGTACGGTTCAAAGTCAACGTCGAGAAGAGTCCTTAGTGGATGGAGCTATCGAAGCTATCTAAGAAACAAGGAACATGAATAGTTTCACGAAACGTATGGATTCGAGTTATCACAGCAAAAACTGCAAACGTGATTCTTCAGAAACAATTAGATGGCTGTTATAGACTGTTGTGTGTGATATCATCTCAACTTATATCTATGAGAAAATGATGAAATGCTCCTTAATTCTTAAATAATGCTCCTTTACTGCGTAGCTTTTCAGATCTCCTGCCCTGCCCGTGTTGTTTTTTTAGTCACAAGAATGCAGCGACGGGCAAGCGTCAAGAATAAGCTTCTAAAAGATGATTCTAAAATCGAAAATTCCAAAATCAAAGATTCTAAAATCGAAGATTCTAAAAGAAACTTCTTTTTGGAAACTCATTCTATACGCTTGCCCGTCGCTCCACTCCTCTGATAAAAAAAACATAGGCAGGACAGTAAATCTGAGTAGCTACGCAGCAAAGGAGTATTTTTCCAGGTTTTAAGGAGTTTAATATTACGTTTCTAAAGCTGCCTTATATTTATACAAAGACATTAAAAAGTGAACGAACAGGTTGTGATCGATAAATACGCGATATTTGAGCATTTTTTATTTTGTTTTTTTTTTTTTTTATGATGGAAATACCGTTTTTCTATCATTTGTATTTGCTTGTTTTATGTAACACCTACATGCGTATCAAATCAAATTCTTTTGTTTATTGTTATACATTTTTCTCAAACGACAAGAAAGTGGTTTTAAAACAGGTTTGTGCTTCGGCTACAAAACAATGCATAATCGTGATGCTTTTGTCGTGACGCCTTCATACTGAAACACTGGCGCATAAAATGTAAATGAATTCTATGCTACGAGTTGCACGTGGTAATGACAAAGGCAAACAAACATTCACTCCTCTATTTGAACAACCACGCCAAGAGAAATTGTTCAAAGTGAGGTCTACCTACTGCATGCTTTCTGGAACTAAATATCATTCCTTTCTCGGCACCTCCAAGTGCTTTAAGTGGCGGCGACTGTCCCACATATTTGAACCACGCCTTTTTGGGTATAGGAAAATTGCACTTCCTACACACATCGACTGCACATTATAGAGTGTCGCGCGCCATCGACAACATGCGGGCCAAAGGAAATCATGTTGCCATCAAACCGCCAGTAATAGTTGTCGCAATTTCACTTTCAAGTCCAAACATGAGACACTGCGGGGAAGCAGCATAATTTCATAGTGAGCTTTCATCATCAGACCATCACGCGCAGTTGGCGTGTAGGATACCGGCGATAGCCGAAGCCAAATGTGGCAGTGCACGATGGCATTTCAGGGCTTGTAACCCGTACACATAAACGGAATGCTCCCTTCTAGCATAGAGAGCTACTGTGGGAACGCTGGGTAATTGCTACCGATATGGCGCAATCTATGATGAGTGGTTGATACAGGAGGAAAATTATGTTTGTTTTATGACATTTCTATCTTTTAACATTGCGTGGTAGTGAATAATAGGTGTAAATTAGACTATGGAAGACCAAGCAATTGCACAAAACACTTGTAGGCTATCTTTCCAGCTCCGAAAGTGTTAATTGAATGTGCGCAGCTATTCCTGAAAGTGTGAACTACAGAAAACAGGCGAACTACAATGAAGCATGTGTGGCTATTTGCGTGTCTGGAATATGGTTTATTTTGATCCCGGCCAAAAGCTGACGAAAACGCCTTCAGGAAATTTCCAATCTGGTAGACTTTTGGGAGCAAGTCCAAAAGACGTCAAACGTGGGTCTGGTATGATTCCAAGGCGAGTCCGAAAGGTTTAAAAGGCAAGTTCATGATGCTTTGGGGACAGGTTCGCATTTGAAGCCATGGCATGACATTTGATTAGCTCTTTGAGTTTACTTTTGAGGTTCTCTAGACGTTCTATGAGCTTTTCTTGAAAAGTTAAAAAAAACATAATCACATAGGGGAAAAAGATGTACTGTCGGCCTACATGCCCCCAATTTGGGTCCATACATAAATTCAGGAATCGACTAAATTTTCAATAGCGACCAAAAATATCCATTAGTACCGTCCCAATGACGCGTTCATCTAGACAAAATTGATAAATAGCAGATTTTTAACGATGGGCCCAATTTTTACCAGGAATGTAGAAAAGTGATTCGATTTGACAGTTCACAAACCGTTCGATTCTGAGGTCCATCTCCACATCACCAGGGTTTGACACAGAAAAAATGTTAACTAGTCAAAATGAAGCTTATATATTGCTTTTTTAAGAAAAATGTCTACGTCCATAAAACATTCAAAACTTGGACAATTGTCTACGCAAGGGGAGGAGATGTTAAAAATTCCTTAAAAACTGTCTACGTCGTTAATGGACTGCCCCTAAGCTGCCAAACCGAAATAAACCCAGTGAATTTGGTCACAACAGCCACAATTCTCCCGGACTAGTATTTATGCTATGACACACAACTATGCTGCCAGAAACCAGTAGCATTCGTCAGAGCATAGCCAATCTCGAATGGAAAAAAATGAGCGGGAAATGAAAAATCGCTGCACGAAAATAGAGATTTTAATGAACTTGCCGCCAGCTTTCTCGTGGGTAGCATTTATGTAACCGCAGGACAAGCATTTTTATGCTACAACATCGCATTATGGTGGCCAGTTGTTTTCTCCGGACAGCTCATACAAAACTGGGTTTTGAAAGCCTCGCACCGCTATAATCGGAGTCGGAGATGAATCAAACAAATTGAGAGGTGTCTAATACTAACCAGGTTAATGATAGTGCCGAGATTGAGCCGAAGCTGACTGAAATTTACATGAAGATATGTTCTGCTCTTTCATAACTAAGTTATCGCAGTACGTTTTCTTGTTTGCAATTGCGTTTTTTGATATACCATGCTGATGTTTGAAGTAAACTATTACGAGATAAATAACTACAAATGCAAAACCGGAATGTAAATTTATATAAATCTTCACAGTAGATCTCTGATGATCCAGCTCTGCATGGACTATGATGAATGGATGCAACCACATCATTCCAAGCCTATGTAATTAAAAAAAACTGTATGCAGTTGATTCACGTATGTAAAGATGTGGTTGATGGTGGTAGTGGATGAACTCTGAACTAATACAAACTACGCTAGAGTCACAAGAAGTTAGGAACCAAAATAAAAGTTCCGTAAAAATAAGCTACACTACGCCACGAAGAGATATAATCAAAACAAAACGGAATTCCTTTCGCTATGCGAAAGAAAACAATGGCGAAGAGGGGTCAGTAGTGGACACTCGGTGATGGAGTGCAGGCAAACGGGTTTTGGATTGGGCGGTTTGGATTTAAATTACATTTCGTCGTTTCTATGGCGAGGCTCCCTCACATACATTAAGGCAACACATTCCCGCGCATTTTAGAGAAACGTATTCAAATTCGTTCACGAGGTACGCATTAGAAATCAACAAAATCATAGCACGGTATTCTTGATGTGTAGAAATTGATATTCCTAAATAGGAAAAGAAAACCGTGAGAAGAAACCTTTTCGGTATTTGACCGTCAACCACCACCATCGATTGAAAGATAGAGTTTCAGTGCATTAAATAATGCATGAACGATGTGGATCAATTTACACTTTCGACCACAGAAGAGAATTTGAACAACGTTGCATGCGAATATCGATCCACATTTCGCACTCGATATTCAAGGCCTATATTACCCGAGCAGGAACGAATATCTCGATACCTTAAATTGGTATGGGTGAGCATGACATAAGAAGTAAAATACCAATAAATAATACCAAAAAAATGTTCCCACAATAACATTCCAATACCAAATTATGCAATTGCAATACCAAAACAATACCACACTGAATACCTGTGTGGTAATGTTTTGGTATTGCAATTTGGTATCGAAATATCAATTTTTTTTTATTTACAAAGTATTTTGCATGCAATTTTTTTGTATTATTCTTTGGTATTTTAACTCTTATATCATGCTGATCAATACCAAATTTTGGTTTTAGATCAAAATTAGGTATTGAATAACTATTTTCTCCTGCTCGGATAGGAGGGTTCTAATGAACTGCATCCAGCTGGAGAATGTGAGATTGATTCACATTTTTGTGTAAACGTATTTTATTAAATTAATGCCAAGAGATTTTAAGTTTCATGTCGATAACCTTATAATGCCTTTATTGTGAAGCGAACTCCTTGGGAATTTTATAATGATGATACTTTCAGGGTAGCCACTAAATCGAAAACCCAGGGAAGAAGTGGGAATTTGATTGGAACCTTAATTTGAATATTTTTAATATATTCTAAGCCCAATAGCTTAAATATTTTTCATATAATCTTGAATATTTCTGTTTATTTTTCCATAGTACAGGATACCAGACATTAAGTCTTAGATCTAAATAATAGTAATGTCTAGAGTCTGGAATGAATATTTTTGTTAATTTTAGTGGCATGAAAACTGTTCAAGTAACGGAATCTACTAAATCTATATATTTCTTGGATAATAAATTCCCTTCCGTTGAGATTTTTTTCTTAATTTGAGATCCCACATACCTTACTGTTGAATTTTCTGAAATTTCTTCCAAGACTTGAGATTTTTTTTGCTAATCCTGGATCTGTAATAGCTGTGCACAAAATCTTGGAAAGTTTTCAATTTATTTCTTTGAAATTAACATCAGGTTACTTTTGAAAATTTCCCAAGGTTTTCCTTAGGATCATATCAAAATGTCTTCAGAATCACTTTTACTTTCAGGATTTACCTCAATAATCAATCTTATGATTCTGTCCGGTATTCCCTAGAAATGTTCTATATAACAATCTAAGAATTCTGTGCAGA